GTGTTGCGTTGACTTTTGGACCATTAACAGAATTATTGATAGGCCTCTTTTAAATAATTCCCAGACAATCCAGTCCTGCCATTGTCTTGACATGCCCTGTGACACATGTTCTGCACCGCAGAGGTCCATGTGAGATATGTTCACATCTACTGAAAATACTCTGGGTGGTTTAGAGTCAGATATGTGTGTGAAAAAGCAGGAGGAGAAAAAAAAAGGAAAACAGAAAACGATGGCCATCAGAAAAAAAAAGAGTATGTATATAAGTAAAAGTCTTGGAATGTGAACTGTCATACTTCAGTTTCTGCTTGGGGTTGTCAAAACCTTATTCTTATTTTTGATGGCACTTCAACATCCAGCTTTTGGCAGGCACTACAATTGACAGTGGAGAGGGGAACAGATTGCCTGTGAAGTAAAAAAGCAATCAGAGGGTGGACGCAATGCTGTGATGATCCACCCCTTGATGACTCAGTGCATTCACAGGGTCAACTTAGGTCAAGCTTGTCCCAGTTCACAAGCATCAAAAAGAAACTAAGTACATCTGCCTCCACTCGGCCTCTTTACTGTAGATCCATATCTTGATTGACCTACTATATCACTAACAAAAAACAATTCAGCATGCACAGGAAACTAAGTCCAGTTTAGGGCCAACTGAGGCGTATTTATACAAGAGAAAACCAACCCCCAACTAGAGCTGATCGCCTGACTAGGAGGAACTCAACTTGGGTTGATTTCAGTCTTTGCATATATTTCCATTAGTCCAGTTTAAGTCAGACTACAGGGCTTGACAGTGCGACCATTTCACAGCCAAGGCAATAAATGTTTTTTTCATGTAAATACTGCAGTGTAGGTTAGTTTTAGGTTGGATATTTGACGGACATGCACCGCTGATCTACCGCTGTCTTCATACGCTCCATAACCGGGAACAGCAAGAGCAGTGCAGTTAAATCTACTCCGTAGTGAAGTTAGTTTTAGGTTGGATATCCACCAGACATTCACTGAGGATCTACCAGTGTCTTCTCACGCTCCATTAACGGGAATGGCAAGAGCAGATTAAATCTACTCGGCGCCCTCGCTGTCAACGTCTACACGACACCCTTGCTGTCAGCGTCAGGTGTTGAATAAGGGACCATCAATAAATTACCTATTGATGTTCTCAAAAAAGGCTGATTTCCTTTGATAGCTTCCATGCCATGTGATCAAGTGACCTAAAATTTATTTCAAATAATAGTTCTAAGGTCGGACAATAGGACACACCTCTTTATTTCCCTAATTTGTCCTCCAAAAAATGTTTGTATTAAATTTCTTCAATAGCTTCCATTACATTTCTTCAATAGCTTCCATTACATGTGACCAATTGACCTAAAATTAATTTCAAATAATAAGACACATGATTTGATCAATTTTTATTGTGCTCCTAAAGTTCTTAGTGTGCTCCTTATTTTTTTTCAACTTAGGAGCACATGTGCCCTAGACTATCATAATAAATCCTTTTTTTTTAACATTGTGTAACCATACTGACTGTGGACTGGGCAGTTTCGTCACAAATCACAACATAAATGAGGCTGTAATCCTGTATTCACAAGAGTGGTGCCAATCCTGTGTTGCAGTACCCTACTGCTGACAATGCAGACTTTGCTGCTTCACAATAAAAACAAAAATTCCCCAAGCACTGATTTTTACTGTCGTGCAACACTCGTCTACTGATAATCTGGAAAAATTGGAATAATTAGTTGACAAGTATCACAACCTGCTCGTCACAGAAAGGATGAGGAGGAGATGGAGGAGTCTCACAAGCTCTACTCCTACTCCCACTGCCAAATGCCAGTCCACAACTCCCCACTGCTTTTCTCAAGTTGGTGAAACTCTCACACGTTTCACTTTGGGGAAATAGATTTTACTGATCAAACTATAACACAAAAAATTTCAGAGACTCAAACAAGGTCTCAAATTTGGTCGGGAACAGATCCTAACTCAAATGGGAGAGAAAGGCTGCAATCATGCAATCACTGTAAGAGGAATTTAGTCTTATTGAGCTTCTAGAGCTGTTATAATTCAAAGTGTTGATAGATTTAGACATTTCATACACAATTTCACATGATTCATTTACTAATGTGTAATCTGAGTGATGAATTGGAGCTTCAATGATGGTTAATGAGTCTCAGGCATCCTTGCTGCTGAGTGAAATGACTGCTTTAATTCCAACAACCTTATTATCAGTACTGTTGTTGTCTTTCTTACTTTTTTCGTAATTACTGCTTTTAATTAGATGAGTAATTGGGTTCTCGTCATAACTTTTTTTTTTATCAATAAAAGGTCAGCTGATACACTCCTGATGTAGAAACTGTGTTCCTTATACATGTCAGTGAAAACAGCGCTGTCAGTCAGTCTTCATACGGTTCATTTCAGTGCTTGTTAGAGGGATAAAGACACCAAAGAAAAGCTCTTAGCAATAACATTTTAAAAAAATCAGATTACAGCCCTATTTGGTCGTGTTTTGTGCCCGTCCTCTCTGCCTGAGTGGAGCGGTGACACACAGGGTCACTATAGCTCTGTTAGGGTTATGTAAGACAATCTCACCTTTTTCCCCCATTTGAATTTTAATTAGATTTAGTTAACGGCACCATTTTGCTGTAATTATTTATCACAGCTCTAATTACACAGTCCATCACATTATCCACTATCCATCTTGAATAATGGACTTTGAAAAAGGAGTTCAAGGACGTCAACTCAAGACAAGAATCAAGAAGCAGCACTTTTCTTTCTTGGCTTTGATATTCCAATGAGTTGTGGGTTCACTGATCACAGCGCTGCATGAAAGACAAATGTGAGTCTGTTCAAAAACTGAAATTATCAGCTTCTCCATTTGAGAACACCTTTAAGTAAGCCTTTTAATTAACCTTGCAAATTGTGATAACAGTGCTTGCTGTGAACTAGTTCTAGCAGTCTTGCTAAGCGATGTCCTTTGTGTGTCACAAAGATGTCTGCTTTCATACTGCGCTTCCAGCTATTTTCTATCTCTAGAAAGGCTGTCATATAGTTCGTTTTGTGTACACTACAATAAATTTGAACACTACACATTTCAAGGACCTTTAACCTTGAGAAAAATCTATATGAATCCTTCAACAAGCCCAGGAATGTACGACAGAGATAATGTCCTACAGGGTGTCCATTATTACGTTTTTTATGGATGACATGAAGGCCAGAGGACATTTGCCGTTGAGTCTATAAAAACCTGATTACATCGCGAATGGCACTGACCTCCTTGCACCGCAGAGAGGCGAAAAAGAGAGAAAATAAAACACAACTTCATAACGTAATTCACCAGTTATGATTGGCAATCAACATCTAAAGTTTTTCACTCATTTACAAAACATGTTTTCTGCACCCTCCTTCATGTCTGACCTCTACCTTCATGTTTTTCTAAGCCCAGAAAGTTCCACTGACATGTTGATTCTTCTCAATACTGTTTACATGAATGAGAGAATGAGAATAAGAGTCATTTCTGGTCCAGGTCACCGCCAGGGACAGAACCCGATGTTACATTAGCTAATTTCAAAGTCAGTAATATAGCATACATTAAAGGCCTATTACACACATTTTCGCCTTGAATTGGGGAAGAACCCTATTCAGCACATTTTTGCCTCAAACGCTTTGTGCCTGACACTGTGGAAACCTGCCGGTGAGGCATCGGTGACGTATGCGCACTATAGCGCCGGTCTACCAAAATACTACTAGACCAGCTGCTTGCCGCCTGCGCTAAAAGCTGACCAAGTTTCTACGGGCACGAAAATGTCACTGCGCCAGCTGATTCTGTGGACACCTCCCCCTGCCGCACCACCATGCCCAGCTTGGCGGACCTCGGTGTGCCTCAGTCTATGAAAATACCAAACTGGCTGTACATCAGGCTCTGCCAGACGAAAATACCACTGTGCGGGGTCTGCCACCCTCCACCGGCGGGCACGAAAATAGAGCCCTTTGTTTTGGCCACTTAACCACTAATAAATCGTAAAACACAAGTGCAGAATGTTACTTATTGCCAGTTCCGTTGGCATGGGCGGGTACTGGGGGGCCGTGCCCGCCCACCAGGTCAGCTGTGCCTGCCCTGGACTAAAAGCAAAATTTTCTATTAATTTGATTTGGGTTTTGTTTGTTTTTTTCTGTGAGAGTAGTCATCTTCAGTTAATGCCATCTATCGCGACATGTCAATCATTTTAACCAATCCGATCGATCGATCGAAGGCAACGTGTTAACCAATTAGAGGTAAAGGAGGGCGGGCCGTTTACTGAGTTAAAGTTCAAACATTCGGGAATATAATAGACGGACTCAGCGCAGCGGAAGCCAGACTCGCCGGTAAGCATCGAAAAATTGATATAAGAGGGTTTTTTTTTCGTCAAAAAAGGATGATTAACACTGACAGCAGCAAGCAGGAAGTAGCGGCAGCGCCACACAGCTCCAGTTTTAGGAACCTAAGCACCAAAGCCAACTGTCACACTACAGTAAACATTCCTGCTAGCGGAGGGAGCAACAGCAGCTAGGGAGCACCAGGAGCTGCAGTGAGCAGTGAGACCCTCCTGCCCGTAAATGTGAATGATGACGCTGATGTCGTGAATAACAGTAGATTACCGAAGCTTTGCAGAAACATTACAGCTGCGAGGAACAGCAGCAAGGAGGCTTCTTTCTGCTCCTGGTGCCCCCTAGCTGCTCCACCTCCTCCCCGGTGTGACTGTTGGCTGTTGTTACATGAGCTGCTGTTGCAAACGGTGTCTTGACATGAGTTTTTCCAAGAACCTAAAAAAACATTGGATGGTTTGCAAGATACAGGTATCTACGGAGCCCCTAAAGGGACATGGATGGACTTTTTTTTTTTGCGAGATCTCGCAAAAGTATTGCGAGATCTCGCAAAAGTATTGCGAGATCTCGCAAAAAGTATTGCGGGATCTCGCAAAACGTATTGCGGGATCTCGCAATACTTTTTGCGAGATCTCGCAAAGTTCTGTCCTACTTCGGTGAACCGGAAGTAAAACAGACACACATGATGGAGGAGCGTACATATCATCCGTGCTCTGTTGTAGGACCATAACAACCATGGAGGACGATTTGGAGCGGTTCTTAGAGTCTCGAGAGGTCCCAAAAGAGGACATTAGACGAATGAAGACAGACAAGGTGAGCATAAAATTCATTCAAAAACTTCACGTCCATTAAGCAACACAGAGCATTCGTGGCTAACAAAGTTAGCGTTAATGCTATGCTATTGTAAGCTAATGTTAGTAACGTCTGTAGTTAGACATGTAGAGTAACGTTAACGTTAGAGTTCTTAACGGGCCTCACTCGGCCCCGTTAGCCTACTAAAAGTAATCAACGGCCTGAACATGACCCAATAGAAATAAAAATAAAACAAATCTAATGCGCCTGATGCGTCATTGTTTCGTTTTAATATAGGGCAGGCGCACTTGGTAGCCTAATAACAGTGATGACATGATGTGATGAAACTTGAATAAAGAACAGAAATGGTTGCCATGGTAACTTTGGACGTCATGGCTGGTCTGTATCATAGTGACTAGCTGGTTAACGTTCCGTGCCAGTGATGTAGCCTACACATTTTGTGGTACAGGCGGCTTAAAAAGGTGGGCTTGTCCTACTGAGCTTTGCGTAAAGTGTAACTTCAAACTAATTTGAATAAGCTTATTAAATCTTTATTATAAATGATTAATCATAAGGATCAATGTCGTTCAAATTTATTACATGTAATATTAGTAAGTGGGTTGTTTATGCTTGGTTTTGGGTGGAGTTTTAGTTATATAGGTCAGCCAGCACGCCTGTGGAGGTCAGCCTTCAGCTTTGTTCAAGTTGAGACGAACTGGACGCAAAATGTTTTTCAACCATGATGTGTTGATGTTGAATCATGGAATCCTCATCTGCCAAAATAAATGGTACATCAATTGCACACCTGTGAATAATGGAATTACATGAAGGTGGATACGCGTCAGATTGCGTCAGCGAATTTGTGTGAAGTAGGCCAGCTTTCTATCTGGCATCTCTATGTCCAATCTTTTACTGTACTTACCATAAGACCAGCTATGTCCAGTATTACTGAAACACTGCATTGACACTATTCCCTCTCTTTCTCTCTCTCTCTTGTGTTTGCAGGTTGACAAGGCAGTATTGCGCATCATGACGGATGAGCAAATGACAAAATACATATCGTCATATGGTGACCGAGTGGCTGTCCTGTCCTTCTGTGAACAAACCCAGTGCCACAGCACCAATAAAGAGACTCTTTTACAGCGATTAAAAAATAAAATAGGGGCACGAAAAATGAAATCAAAAACAAAAGTGAGTGGTACCCCAGATAATCCCCAAAATAACATGGTCAGACAAAGAAATAGGGCAGGAGAGAAGACTTCAAGAAAGGTTGAAATTGGATGGCTTCATTTTGGCAAAAATGGATACAGTCAAGTACGGACCAACAATGGTGGAGGCACAAGACATGCTACATTGGCAAAAACAACAACTGTTGCTCAGATCATGGAATTAGGAAAGGGACTATTTTTTCCTGATGGGCATTCCACAAAAGGGCCAGCTGAAGACTTCACGTTTGAAATCTGTGATTTTAAAATGAACAAGATTCCCATGGATAACACTGTTGGCCAAATGTATGAACAAACTAAACTGAAGCTACTCAGATTTTATGTTTGCACAAAAGAGGGAGCTTCAACCGATCACTCCTCATCTGAAGAAAATCAGCTGATTGAAGATGAAGAAGAAAATGACCTGCTTGAAGATGCATCTCACTCAGATGATTCCATCACAGATCTGCAGGATCGTTCACATTCATCTGACAGTGATGGAAGCATCCAGGTTTATGGAACAAGGACAGAGGTAAATAATTTGGTGTGTGTGTGTGTGTGTGTGTGTGTGTGTGTGTGTGTGTGTGTGCGCGCGCGCACTTCAGGGCTCTAAAAGCAAAAGGCACTGATAAACAAAGGGAATAGACCTACATGTATTGTATTTTTACACAGCATTGAATAATAAATGTGGAGCATGTGTTCTGATGTTACTGCTGACAACCATCCGTCTATGATTTGTTTTCAGATGCAACCAAGATCAAAAAAGATAAGGACAACATCCGAGACTGAGACAGCAGAAAGTCCAGGTCCATCACATCCCTTTCAGTCAACCCCAACAGACAGTAAAAAAAACACAAGTGAGGTTAGTTTACCTGACCCCTTGTTTGACGAGGCAGATACACTTATATGGGATCCAGACGATGACCAGGTGGTTATAAACTTGAATGTTGATGAGGATGCAGATGTTACACAGGTAATGTTTTATCTAGAATTTCTATATGAAAATATTTTTCTTGAACTTAACTTTCATTTTAAATGTTTAGTGGTGTGCCATGTACAACTTGTATTAAAAACAAATACCAATTGTTGTCTTTAGTGAAAGTGAAAGTCAGTTAAATCCTTTTGACTTAATTCCTGGGATTGTAACTCTGATTTATGACTTCATTATAGTGTTCTGTCTCTGAAATGAAAGACGTTTGCCTTTTTTTATTTCTCAAAACCTAAATGGACTTTTTCATGCTATCTGGAGTGTTCTTAATTTTGACTAGAAGTTATGCTGATGCATAAGACTCAATTAGAAAGACTTTTATAAATAATAGTCTGCGATGACATCATAGATTTTATGATTAATATGTCTGCTGTCATTTATTGTATTCTTCAGAGCACTGAGGTGAGTGGAGCACCTACGCAGACTATACAGCTCCTATTGCCTTCAGGTGAAGGTCTGCTTACACTGGATGAGCAGCAGTCCATACATGAGGAGGCAGTGCAAACTGCCCAGGTAAGACACACCACTTCAAGCAACTCTGATGTTCTCAGGGTTTTTAATAGAAAGCAGTTTGAGGAGGGGTGCAGTTTGTAACACAAAAAGATACTTGAGTTGTGAGTTGCTTTATGAGAAACATAGCATCCAAAATTATTTTAACCTTGGTACAAACATGCCAAACACTTTGGCCTCTGCTTTATTCATTGACCACTCTGTTTTTAACATGTGTGTTCTTCTATCAGGACAGTGGACCGAATTTTCCCTCAGATTCAAGCAGCCAGTTGTCATCATCAACATCAGCCAGCAACCCAGGAGATCCAGAGGCCACAAAACGAGCTTCAATATGCCGCATAAAGGTTGTTGGTGATCTGTTGGCTGTATTTATGGATAGCAGGATCATGAATATGACTTTAAAGATGGACTTCATCAACGAGAAGGCTGTTGATGATGCCGGCGTGTCCAGAGAGGTGTACACAGCCTTCTGGGAACAATTTCTTGAACAGTGTGAAGGGGAAACGGAGAGAGTTCCCAGGCTTAGGCCAGATTTTTCTGAGGCTGAATGGCAGGCGATTGGACGCATTTGGGTTAAAGGATTTTTAGACCACGGTGTCATGCCAGCAAAGCTATCGATGGCCTTCATTTTAGCATGCATCACTGGAATTGAGTCTGTTGATACAGACATCTTGATGTCATCGTTTCTGAACTTCTTACCTCCCATCGAGCGATCAGCTGTTGAGAACGCTCTCAGGGGCAGAATAGAGGAAGGGGATCAAGAGGACTTGCTCGACCTTTTCACACGAATGGGTTCCCATTTCTTACCACCAGAGAACAGCATGAAGTCTGCCATTGAAATAATGGCACATAAAGCTATTCTCCAAGAGCCAAAGTATGTAATTGATTGTTTTTCGACTCCCATGTCACTTGTAAAGTTGAAACTACCAGATAAGAAAAGTGTGTTGAGTCTGTATGAGTCCAAGAAGCCCACAGGCAAAAGAGTGATGCAAATGCTTGAAACAACAAAGGTGGTGCTGTCCCAAAGAGAACAAGCAACCTTAAACCACCTACAACGTTATGTCAAAAATGCTGATGAAGCAAAAGCAGAGAAAATCCTGCGCTTCTGCACAGGTTCTTCAGTTATATGTGTTGAGAAAATTATGGTTAGCTTTAATGCTGAAACTGGGCTCAACAGGAGACCTGTGGCGCATACCTGTGGCGCTACACTCGATCTGCCATGTACATACAGTTCTTACCCAGAATTTCGAACAGAATTTGATAATATTTTGAACAGCAACTACATGGAGATGGACATCATTTGAGCTTGAGAGCAAGCCAAATAGTAACCTTCTCCATCTCTCTCCTCTCTCCATCCTCCCTGTCTCTTTCCTCACCTTCTCCATCTCTCTCCTCCCCCAGTCTTTTTCTCTCCTCATCATTATCATTTGAACTTGAGAGCAAGCTTGATCAGGCCAAATAGCAACAGGCCTCATTGTATGGTTGATTGTATTTTATTTATTTTCATTTGTCTGTTTTTGTTGTCATTTAAACATCCGATGCACTTAACATAGTGGTAAGCAGTCTTTTATTTCATTTAGATCAGCCTGCAATTCTATTTTTCTATTGGTGCAATATTACACCTCCATACTTTTTTACATTGATTTTATATTTTGAATTATACTTTGAAAATGACAGCATTCATTTCCATAAGTTTGAGTCTAACCCAGCTTCAATGCTGAACTTGTTCCTAAAAAGCATATTAGTGTAATTTTCTGTAATTTACAGAGTTGTCCATCACTGGTAGATTTGTTAATTACTGATGTCATCACTCATGTCAGTTGGTTGCTTATTCAGAAACAGTTTGAAACTCAATGTTGAGATGCCAATGAGCGTTCCTGTTTACAAAATGTATAATCTGATTTTACCTGTGTGAGATGGCCTTCAGAATGATTGTAATATTTCCATTATATTACTTTAATTTACTGCTGGAACTTAATGCCATCACATATATTTTTATTGAATGTGAGTGCATTTTGCCATGAAGTGACCGATAAGTACTGTAATGTAAATATTTATATCAATAGTTTTTTATTGACAAACCAGTTAAGTTTGGCAAAATTTACTTTTATTCAGGGTTGCAGATTTCAAATGTTTTTCACAATTCATACAAAATAATTAATAAATTTCCTGCTCCACTCTGATGCTACAGTGCTTGGCTACAAAGTTTGTTCATCCACAGGTATCTTCACTGTCAATTACATGTCAATTGATTCGGGCTGCAAATAAAAATTATTCCCATCTGAGAAATAGAAAACATTTTGTGACATTTTTACAAGAACATTTGACTTTAACAATTAATCAACTATCAAAATAGTTGGTGATTAACTGTTACCCTACAGGGCAGAAGGAAATATCCCTGACTTAGAGAGATGCAGTGATGGCCTCTCTTAGGTGCCTATACAAGTTCACAGCCTGATAGGGATCTCTTGGGAGAGTCAGATGGGACTCCACCATTAAGATGTTGCATAGTTCGTACACGTCTGGATCGCATGGTATCGGCCGGCGAAAAACACATTCATCTTTGCACAGCTGAAGATGTTCATCTTCAACAGGGGAAAGGAAGTCTCTGGTCCCATAGAGTTGAGGCAATGCATCCATCACATTGGGCCGACCACTGGGGACACTGATGTTTTTTGATGGTCTGATTGTGTGGGTATTCCAGACCTGTGCAGTGTCATCCAACTCATCCTGTAAAAAAGAATATACAAAATAGAATTAGGAAGAACTGTACATACAAACAGTATATAATTTAATAGTGCAACAAAAAATGTATCCACAATTCTCCTCTATGTCTCTTTCTTCCCTCAATCTTTTTCTCTCCTCTCTCCATCCTCCCTGTCTCTTTCCTCACCTTCTCCGTCTCTCTCCTCCCTCAGTCTTTTTCTCTCCTCTCTCCCCTCCCTCCATCCTCCCTGTCTCTTTCCTCACCTTCTCCATCTCTCTCCTCCCTCCCCTCCCTCCATCCTCCCTGTGTCTTTCCTCACCTTCCCCGTCTCTCTCCTCTCCCCTGCTCCCTCCATCCTTCCTGCCCCCCCCCCCTCCCTCTCTCACACACACACACACACACTCTCTCTCTCTCTCTCTCTCTCTCGCTCACCTGGATGAGTCCCATGCAACAAAACTGAAGGATGGCCTTGTCCAGAAACCCGCCATCAAAGAATCCATTGTCTCTGATGTCTGCAAACAAGGACATCCAGAACTCCACACACTGGTTGCGCAGAAAACCCCACCAATACTCGATCCGTTGATTGGCGGTGCTTGCTCCCTCCAGGTAGCTATCAACAGTGCCATCTGGATGGATCGGGACGAGGAACCGCTGAAAGTCTCTAACATAGCCGTTTTCGGTCCCGAGATCGCCTCTCACAATCCTGGGGCAGCCCCCTAAACGCTGGACTGCATCAACGTAATAACCCCCGATCAACTTTGGGTCACTACTCGTGGTATAGGCATTAAGCCAGATCATTTTCCTGGAAAAACCATCGATGCTTCCGTTGATACAAAAGCCATATGGCTTGAGTTTGTCGTAGCTATCCATGTGCCAAATGAAGTTAGGACCTCTCGAAAAGTAGCTCCGTCGTCGTAGGCGTCTTGCTTGTCTTAGTGACACTCCTCTCGGATCCAGCTCTTTCAACACCAACCGCACATCCTCCTTCTTTATTCGTAGTCCATGCTCTCTACATTTACCGTACATCCACCGGTACCCGTGAAGCTGGCCAGAGTACTGTAGTTCGTTGCTGATGAATTCAACTAGGACCGCAAGATCACAGTACCCATTACGACGAGAAAGCCCCCTCGCCCTCAGTATTCTTTTCAGATGTCTCTCACTTATGTCAAAGCCATGTCTACGTGCAAGAACGGATTTGATGTCTTTATATGTAAGGCCAATACTGAAATAGAAATCAATAAACTTCTCCCACGGATGATGGGTAGGCTCCTCCATGCTGTGTCTATTTTACTTCCTCCTCCTCCTCCTTCTTCTTCTTCTTCTTCTTCTTATTTTAGGCTACGTGTTTTACTTCCGGTTCACTGAATGGAGAAAAAACTTTTGCGAGATCTCGCAAAAAGTATTGCGAGATCCCGCAATACGTTTTGCGAGATCTCGCAATACTTTTGCGAGATCTCGCAATACGTTTTGCGAGATCTCGCAATACTTTTGCGAGATCTCGCAATACTTTTGCGAGATCTCGCAAAAAAAAAAAGTCCATCCATGTCCCTTTAGGGGCTCCGTAGGTATCTCACAAGTATGCAATTTTGCAAAAATTTAATCTAGTTATCCAACACAGTGACATTTTATGAAAGTGTTCAAGTACAGAGAAGCTTAACAGGTCAAGCGATATTAATAGCTTAAGTGAGACATTATTTGAAATGAATGTGTGTCTTCGGTCTCTTGCAGGGAGGTCTAAAAACAGACATTTGTTACCTCTGAGGTTTGAGAGCCTTCAGCCAGTCAGAATCAAATGTTCCCCAGGACCTGGGTTTTAATAAACTGTAAATATTGTACACAGAATCCTGTTATGACTGAAGGGCGTAAGCAGCGAGAGTATCAATTAGGTCAGGGGTCGGCAACCTTAAATACTCAAAGAGCCGTCTGGACCAGTTTTCCACAGAATAGATAACACAGAGAGCCACAAAACCCCTTTGGCATCTAAAACAAAGATAACATTTGCATATATAGTTTTTTTACCTTTATAAAAAACTGTAGTGAGTTGCATTTATTAAATAAATGAACTGCTGCAGAGAAAAAGAATTGTTATTTCCGCAGGCAAAAAAAAAAAAAAAAATTGAACAGTTTGAAATAACCTTAAAGACCCACTTTGATGAAAATCATGTTATTCTTGTTGTCTACATGCTCATACATCATTTTCCAGAAGCTACAGGACAAATCATAAGTAATATAAGTGTGAAATTGCATTTCTGAGTATTTCTGCATTCAGATCACTGTGAATTTCTGGCAGACCCAAACGGTAGTCTGAGACGCAGGGAGATTTCCTACTTCACAACTGTAAGCTCCGCCCTCAGACCCCTGCTATGCAGGCCACACTCAGAGGAGTTGAGAGGAAGATCGCACAACAAGCGTGTGCGTTAAATAAAAAACACGATTTCACTGAACAATGTAAGATATTATATATATGCTAACTATTAGCAGATTAAAATATGAAATTTAGTTGCTTAATGTGACTTTCGCTCCTGAACCTAAGCGCATGGCGTCTCCACATCCAGGCTGTGTGACATCACATTCATCTTCACACAGGTTTTCGGTTTTCCCTTGTCTGCAGTTATGATGCATATTTTGAGCGATAAAAAAACTGAACATGGTTTATTTAATGTTACAAGTGCATTATAATCTTTGAATTTAGAATTTCACAAAAAACTAAACTAAAATAAATTCAAATTAAATATTTACTATTTATTTTCCGAATCCACAGGGAGCCGCAGCTTCCATGTGGGCTCGCATGATTAAAAGCATTTTGTCTGCCTCTACCTGTGAGGCGCATGCTGGTGAAAAATATCCACAAGGAGTCACAATATAAGTGTTTATTATCACAGTTATCTTGAGTGGAAAAATATACAATGTCTAAATATTCTATGACAAGGATGAAACGGACAAAGGACGTAAACAACAGCGAGGCCTGCTTGTGTCTGGTTGTGTTTGTGATGTGAAGATACTGTAGCGAAACAGTTCCTCCCTGGTGTATTTTCATATCTTGCAGAATGGGAAGGTTTTCTTTTATGCAGGTGTTGAATAGGCTGAGGCTTGCGCAGGTATTTGTCTACTCTCTGGCAGGGCCAAGGGATTACAGAGACAAGCACTGTGTTGCCATGGTTTCCAGTTCAGCTCTGCCTGCCTCCAACACCAAGGATAGTTGTTCTTTGTTGGCCCTCAGTATCACACCAATCGTCAGTGGGAGAGCTGTAGATAAACAAAAAGATTCTTATACAACAGGAAGACAGCTTGTGAGTGGTTATATACAGTATATCTGGCTCTTATGGCTGTCTGTACAATGATATTTCTTATAACTAAGTATTCAATGTGTGATTTGAACATTTGGACTATTCTTGGTTTTACTTAAGAAGATGCCATCTGTCCTGTTCACTGGGACGTAATGTAACAGCAACACCACAAATACTGTGACAGGACGAAAAACTAGAAAAATCGAACTATTAAGTTCAACCTTTGCCTAACACATCACTAAAAACGTCTGAAAATGACACTTTTGTGCGCTACAAATACCCAAGTTAATCTGGGATATTATTCATCAGAGTTTGAAACCGCTTTGTTGTTCAGGTATGTGAACACTTACAAGGAAATTTCACTCTGGTCTCAAGCTTTCTTTGTAGACACAAATACACAATAAGGCAACAAAAAGTCCCCAACATACCTTTGTCAGGCGCACCGCAGCAACCATGGTTACAGCTTGTTCTTTCAGCCTGCTTGTCGGCCATATTAACATTAAATTGAACCATTCATGCAAAGCCTGCTTTTCTGTTGTAAAACCACAGGAAACCTTAAAAATGTTAAAATGATAACAGCCCCTGATTTAAGTCTTTCAAAGCCTGCTAACCCCCCCAAAATCATTTGTTTATCCCTCCCAAAGTCTCTTAGCCTCAGCTCCTTCTTCTTCTTTGAACCCCTTTCTCTATTTCTTGTATTTGTTGGTGCCAGGTCAGCCATTGACAAAAAAGCTTCAGGGTTTTCAAAATAAATTAGTTGTATCAAATAAGATCCTCCTTGTTAACAGTTCAAATTGCCAAGTGTTTTTGCCACAGTGTCAACAAGCTATGGTGAAATTTGACAGTACATCTCTGTGCAGGTGGATTGATTCAATTTGACCTGTGGGATCAGACTGTTGACTTTATTGATTAGACTGATTAACTGTCTTTTTAAGGTGTCATAATCGTCCACTCTGTACGGCTTTGTTTGTCCACAGCCTCCATTTTTGTTAAATAACGTAACTGTATTTGTTAACTGAGATCATCAGTGCATAGATCAGCCAGGTTACGATGAGAGCGCCCTCTGCTGGATCAAACAGCAAGCTAAAACAGCAAGCCTTATGTGCTGGTTAACTGTATTATTATGAGTTTGAACACTTTACTACAGTTTGAATGTGAACTTTCCCCTCAGTCTGAATGAAGGTTTGAGTTTTAGATAATAAGTGACAGCCCTAGCAGCTTAACCATATTGCTTATACATAAATTAGGTAGATGGTTAGAGAATATATACACAATGTACTTGAATATATTCAGTAAAAGAGACTGAGTATGGTTTGTGACACTCTCTTTCTTTAACAGCAGTAGCTCACTGAATTTTGGAGCTAGGCCTTTCAGATTTTTATGCAAAGTACCCACATTTGTTTTCTACAAATTGAACCAATTCAAATGTCCACAGGAATATCGCAGACCTCAGGAGTCAAATACACTACCGGCAGAAAGAAAAATCCTCACAGTTTGCCTGAAGAATAAAAATGTAATCCAATGAAGGTAATATGGTTTATGTACAACGGCATGAATATTAAACAAAATATAGTCGTGATTAAAAAAAGGACTTTATTGCATATTTTTTTTTCTTTGTAGAAACTAGATGCACCTGCTTCCAGCCTTGAAAACGAACATACAGGATCAGAGGGAGTGGGTAACATCGAAATGATCATGTTGTCTCTGTTGGTGGTGTCATATTTCGCCCCATGCTACAGCAAACCCGGTGTACCCCATAAAAGTGCAGAATCTTGTGTTCAAACAATTTAGACGTCTAAATGCGTAGATCATGGTGTATTCCAGCACTGAGAAGAAGATATAAAATGATGAGAGTAATTCATAGGGTAACAAACCAAACATTTCTCCCTACTGCTATTCTGGAAGGCGAGGAAATTCTGTCTTCCTCTTTTCAGAAGATTGTTGAATAAAATGAGAAAGAGAGGGTATATATTCCCTTTCATCATTTGAACTTTCATCATTCAGACAGAAAGAGTCAAGAATAAAACTACCACCTCCACTGTTAAATGACAACCCACCCTATCTGCTGAACCACAGCCAAACCACTTCCAACTATAGTCACTTTTCATTAAACCATGAAATGTTATAGATTAAGTCATCAGTTTAATTTGAGGGAAAGGAAAAATTACTTTGCTGTGGTAAGATTTTTATTCTCTCTCTCCCTCAAGGGAAGCTAATTTGCCAATGACCCAGGTCAAAGCTTCCATTGAAAGCCAAAGTTTGGCTCTGTGAAATACCTGCCTGCCCTGCAAATACAAACGCAATATCATACTAAAATGAGCTCCAAAATTGCACTGATCTGCATAACAACAACCTCAGCTACACCAATTCAACCCTCAATATGAAAGGAGGTCTCTGTGGAGCTACAGAATAGCTGCATGGATACAATCCTTAAAAATAGAGAACTGTACATTTGGGCTATCTGCAATAGGGCTGGCTTCACTGTCTAACATGTTTTAGTCAATAAAAATTATCTTAATACACAGGCAAAATACTTTCTGGCCTTTCCCTGCAAACTACAAATACCAGAAAAAAACCCTTAATAGCACGCCATGTGACGCCTGGTGTTCACATCGTTTGATCTCTGGATTTCTTTTTTGCTGTTGAGTTTGGGAGATTAGCCATGGCTCACAAGTGTAGCAAGATAGCATCAGCGTCATGTAGAAATACGTGACGATAATTATCATGCACTCCAAGAGCCTGACTGTCATGAGCCACCAGCCCATGGCAAAGTCAAGAGCAAAGGGTTCACAGTGAGTGAAGGGTGTCTTAGTGATCTTCACACCTGTGCAACTCTGTGGGAGAGGGACTGGGATTATTAGATGTTCTTCTTAATGATTCTCGCGGGACATCACACTAATCGAGGCAGTAAGACACACATGGACCATATGATGGAGTATAAAAGAGCGCACTGTATCTCTAAAGTCATATTCTGTTTCTAGTAATGTCTAATTTTATTTAATTTAAGTGTGTAGGACAGAAGCACTTATGTTCTGCCTTCAGTGACAATCTTGTAAACATAAAACCAAGAAAAGCACATGATCTAGTCGTGTTTGTTG